CCGAGGTTGGTGTGATCCTCAGATGCGGAATGGGGATACGGAGGAACCAGACTGGTTATACGGAGGGCCGACTATAAATAATAGGCAGATTAACGACTGCAGAGGCTTGGCGCCGCTAACCCCCGCATCATTCGAGGGTCAACTGTCTGATACGCACTGTGACCAGATGCTGCTGAAAAAGCCCCGGAAGTGCTGCTTCTCTGGGAACTTTGCTCCTTGAGCTGGAGGGCGCGGGTGACCTCGTGTGAGTTTGGCTCTGAGCCCCGAGCACTGCTGATCCTGTCCTTTCCCCCGACATGGGCAGGTCGGCGCCATAATCATCACACCCACGCGGGAGCTGGCTATTCAGATAGACGAGGTCCTGTCCCACTTCACGAAGGCTTTCCCACAGTTCAGGTAAAGTGGACGCAGGGTCCCTGTTAGCCGCGGGCTGTGATTTTTTCCTGACCTGCTCAAAGACCCGTTTCTTGTTTAGCCAGATCCTCTGGATTGGAGGCAGGAATCCTGGAGAGGATGTTGCGAGGTTTAAGGAGCACGGGTAAGATTGCTTTCTCTTACTCATTTCTTTGTTTGCTCTTGCACTGAACCCAAGAGGAATTGATGCAGAATCTGGGCCTAATCGGAACCTCTCACCTTCAGCAACCCTCTCCCCACAAAAAAAGGATTTTCTTCAGGCCAGCCTCCCATTTTGCTTGTGGGTTCCTTCCCACGTGGTCCTGATGAACATCCCCCCTCCGGAGTCTCACCTCTGCAGGGGAGAAGGGGGTTGGAGTGTGGGTCCCGCTCTTCCCTGACAGAGCGTATGGGGCTTCGGGCCCTTGCTCTTCTCACTCTGGGCGGAGGGATACAAAGCTTGGTGTCTGGAATCCCAAAGATCCCCAGATCCAGGGAGTTTGGTCAGTGTGAACTTTGTTTGCACAGTGGAAACATCATTGTGGCGACCCCCGGCCGCCTGGAGGACATGTTCCGAAGGAAGGCCGAGGGCCTGGACCTGGCCAGCTGCGTCAGGTCCCTGGACGTCCTGGTGTTGGATGAAGCGGACAGACTTCTGGACATGGGGTTTGAGGCCAGGTACTGGATTTTGGACTTCATGGGCTTTGGGTGGCAGAGGACGAAAAGGAGACCAGAATGGAGTTCTTCTGTCACTCCATGACTACCTCTCTCAGCCACATTTGCATTTCAAATCATCAGGTGGCTTGATCCTTCAGATTCTACCACACTGAATTCCAGTTCTTTTATCTTTGATGTTCTTAAGATGCGTTTTCCTTCATGGTTTCTTTAACAGTTTTTGTGTTTTTTAACAAATAAATAGCTTTATTGGGATATGATTCCTATTACATAGTTCACCCATATAAACTATACAGTTCAGTAGTTTTTAGTCTCAAAAAGTTAATTCTTAATTTCACTCTTTTAATTGCACTCTATTATAAAAGCATAATTATATCCTTAATATAGGAGAAACCTTGGGAAAACCAGAGTATGAAGAAGACATAAAGATTGCCCATAATCGCTCCTCCCAGTAGTAGCTACTATAAATATTGTGATGGTTTCCAGTCTTTTAAAACACCTGTTTAGTATCATAAAGCACCATTTGTTGATTATGCTGATAAAGGAGTGGTTAAGAGGAGCCCTCTTTTTTTTTTTTTTTTTTTTTAAAGTATAAACACCATCCTGGAGTTTTTGCCAAAGCAGAGGAGAACGGGCCTTTTCTCGGCCACTCAGACGCAGGAGGTGGAGAACCTGGTGAGAGCAGGCCTGCGGAACCCCGTGCGCATCTCGGTGAAGGAGAAGGGCGCCGCGGCCAGCAGCACCCAGAAAACCCCTTCCCGCCTAGAGAACTACTACATGGTGAGCATGGGGCGTTCTCGCTGGTTCCTGCAGTTCAGTGGTGACGCGGACTGGGCTCTGAGGTTCAGCGTGGTGACTGTGGGTACAGGACCGTACTGTGTACTTGAAATTCAGTAAGAGCAGGTCTTAAGGGTTCTCACCAGAAAACAGAAAAGGAAACTAGCTGAAGCAGTGGAGCTGTTAATTAACTCGAGTCCATAATCATCTCACAGTGTACACGTACATGAAGCCACCACATTGTGCACCTTCAATATATACATGCCTAAGTATATATAATTTTTTTTTGCCAATTATATCTTGGTAAAGCTGAGGAAAAAGTATTATAAGCTAAAGCGATTTACTGACAGAATTACTAATTTTCTTTTACTTGAACTGCTTTCAGTAAGCTTAGTTCTGGTTTTTCTTTTTAAATGATCAACTGTAATGTTTTAACAACTTACTAGATTTTTGTGTTTCTATTTACTTGAAAAATGATTTAATTTTTTTAAACTTTTACTGCCTGTATGTTTTATCAATATGTATACATTCATGTTCCCACTAATGTATGTTAACTCTTAGCAACTAAAACAAATAAACAAGCAAATAATAATGAGTGCCCTAGGGATTGGCTTTCAATTTGCTAGGAAACTAAATCTATAAAACGATACCCTGTGGCA